ACTAAAGATCTATAAACTTCCATAAATTGTAAAAATTGTCTCTTCCGTTCATCCACAAAAACACACAATCACTCTACTTCACAATATATGCTGTACAGTGCTTTGGAACATCTTCATGAATGGTGCTTTACCAAATACAAGGATTATTATTATTATTAATATTACGTCATGCTCAGATGTACTTTTGGGTAAGATGTAATATTTAGTTTTTAAAATAATTTTTAGATCAACAAAGTGCAAGTATTTTAGCCATCAAAGGGAAACAAAGCAGATCTTATTTCTTGAAGTTGACTGGAGGACATCTGGAATAATGCAAAAATACCACTTGCTAAACGTCATGAATGTCACTGTGTGATATACAAAATATTTTATGTTTTGGAATTAATGCAGATGTACTGTACTGAAAGATGTTGGTAACAAAACCAAGTTTTGAGTACTATGTTTTGTTTGAGTTGCAAAAGGAATTATTGTATTAAAACAAGATGCAATATAAAAACTTCTATTTAAAAATGTTTATTTTATATCCTTTTGTGAGCTACCTAGGCCCAGTCACTGAAAAGAGGTAACTAATCCATATTTTGTCATTGCCCCCGGCCCACCACCACCACCACATAACTTCTGGTTATTTACTCATTGAGTTTTTGAGTTTTGGACAGAGCCATGGAATTTGAACATTTAAAGTCACCTGTTTCCAGCCTCATCTCAGACTCTGCAATAAACTGTTTACTTTTTTATATACAGCACAACAAACCTATGGCTGACTAAATTAAAATCCTGTGGAGGTTTTCTTATTAACAGAGGGTCGCAACCAGGGAAGTGGGTTAGGTTTTGGAAATTCAATTCTGCCTCTTCATTCTCTTTAAGCATTTTGTAATTTTCTCCAAATGCACTTAACTCACCAATCCATAGGCACTCATGACTCAAGAGTAATCATCCTCTATAATCACAAGCACCCACTGTCTAAATGAGAGGCCCAGTTACCGAAAGAAGGCAACTGACCCCCACTTTTCTCCCCACGCATACAACATTACCATAGCAGCAGTGATATTCAATACTTTAGATCGCTTTCATTGTGATTTTACTATATCTGAGCAGACACATTTTCTTACTGAAGAAAGCCAAAAGTGTATTTGGGCCATTTGCAATGAGTACTCCATTCATCGATAAATGGCATCCACTTGAATAGATTTAAAATTCCTGTATTTTAATAATAACTTACATAAACAATAATACAACATGAATGTGCCTTTGTGTTAATAAAGCTGGTGTGCAGTAACCACAAACAGCACAGCTAAAGGCTTAATAATTAGCTTAACAACAAATAGCTTTGTATTCCTAGTAAACTTGATATGGCTCATTTTCTGCAGTTAGAAAACAGTGTTTCTGTAGCAGGCTAAGTGCAGGTCATGGTATTTACCAGCTACAATCTTGAACTTATCAATTCCTGCACTTTTATTGTCTGGAACTGCAGAATATTTCAGATACGGGTTTTAATTTTGAAGCAGTAATATTAATGCTTACACTTCTTACACTTTGAAACACAGAACTATGTTTCTTTCCGCATCTCCAACCTCCATCCCAGTTAATTCCTTGTGCCTGTTCTATCTCTTCAGTTGGAAAATCGAGCAGGCTTAGCCAACAATCATTTCTTACTGCTGCTCCTCGCCAATCTGCAGAACATATGCTTCAGTCATGCAGGAGGAAACACCCTACTCAGCCTGGTTTTCCGTCTCTTCGCTCAAGCAATGCAGCCCAACACAGCCGGTGCTGATACCAGTGTTAAGATGAGAAATTAAACCCTAAATGTATTGCTGAAAGAAGCTACAGACATCACAAAATGCATATATCAGTCTATCCTTGAGAATAGTTATTTTTTCAAATCAGGAACCAATGTTCTGTTCATCTTCGAATTCCTACCCCAGCTTTATGAGGATTGCTCATCTATCAGCAAGTAATAAAGATTGCTATTTTAGTAAACTGAGTGTGATTTACCCCAATGACTAAGCTGGGGATAAACTGGGTCTCTCAGTTCCTGCTCCATAATTGTCTAATTTGATTGTAGGTGACTAAGAGTCAAATAGTAGCACAGATGTAACTCGAGTGACTCAATCGAATGGTGACTCAACCCTCAAATATACATCTTTGCCAAGAAGTCTCAAAAAACACATTACCAGGGAACAGTACCACTTTAACTGAACTGTAACAAACAAGATAGCCCATTTAACATGTTGGGACTTACAAACCTGCTTATCCATGAATTTGCAGCTAAACCAAGCACGGGGAAAGAATTGCTCAAATGTATTAAACCCTGTGTTAAAATGGTGAACTTTTCAACTAAGAAGTGAAATAATTTACTAAAAAGAAATAAAATACTTCAAATGCCACTTTGGCAGGACCTGGGAAAGATCTGCAAGCTCATGTCCGCTGCAGAGTGTAACAAGACACTTGTAGTGCACAGCTGAAGTCTCTGGTGATATCTGTGTTCTCAAGGATTGGCTAGAAACCACAAGAAGAACAAAACTCGGGGAATAGAGATAGTGTTTGCATTCATGTTGCAACCATCATAAAAGCAGCTATTGTAAAGCTGTAATTTCTTTCTACAGCCTATCACTTTCAAGCGTTTGATGTGTTCACACACAACATGGTTACACTCACCAATTGTTGTAGAATGTATTACCATTACCTTTAATAAAAGCAGATCCTGAAAGCAGAGAACAGAGACTTAAACATAACTTCTTTGGAGAAATACCTGGATTGATTTCTTTGGTGTTGTTAAAACGTGAACACATGTTTCAATATGAAAAGGGTCCTGTTGCCTTTGGAAAGTACAGTACTTGATATACAATTGTAAATATCAAGGATATTATAGTGTATAGTATCAGTATTGGGGATGTTATAAAACCACATTTGTGCAATGTCATTGTGCTGACCTGTTTCCTTCCCTGAAACAATAACAGACTATGTTAACTTATTTAGTGAATCCTTACAAATTTTACCTATTAGCTTTCTATATTGCCTACATATAGTTTTTATTCCTTGATTTTGTACTCAGGGAGATGAAGGTGCTGAGGAATACTCTTGGACTTTAAATTCATTTGAGAGCACAAAGCAGAGCTGAAATTCTCTTATTGTGCTACAGCTTAATGATTAGAGCACTTGCCTCACAAGCGAGAGGACCTTGGTTCGATTCCCGGGCAGGGTGAAACATTGGGCAAGTTTTCTTTACTCCACACACCTCTGCTTACCTAACAGTAAGTAGGAATCTGATTGTTAGTCGATTGGCGGATCGCTTTTCCAGGGATAGTAATCCCTTCAAAAAAATATTAATAATAATTTGGTTACTCAATCCACATTTCGCCCACAAAATAAATACAGTCAATTTACTTTATATTCTGTGAAACACTTTGAGACGTCTAAAAGATGTGATAAGGAGCAATATTAAATGCAAGGATCATTATTGTTATTATTAGCTCTCTCTAAATATATCCAGTTTAAATGTGTTCTAACACAGTCTCGTGAAGAAAAAATATTGAATTCCTAGAGCTTCAAAGTATTGTTTGCTTATCCAATAAGAACAGTTCCTGACATTTCAGAAATTCCTCTGTGTAATTTTCATATACCTTTCGAACAGTCTATTCTTCCTAATTGAAACAAACTGAAAAACTACAGAGCAAACAGAATTCAACTGAACTTTAAAGGGGCTTTGGTATCTGAGTAATTTCCCAAGATGACGGAATCCTGTTTACAAATGTGGGTAAAATATCAGAATGTGAGGATACAAGATATTTCTCACAACCTTTTGAGAGTTACCGCAAAAAATCTCCTATGAAGTACACTTTGAAAATAAGTAGGACTCTGATCATTCCAACCACTTTTGCAGTGAAGTTTCATGACAAACAGTTGCGGGAGTGGACAATGATAATTGGGATTTCTGGAAAATTGTTTGTGAGGATTTGCCTAAAATCTTTAATTAAAATTGTAGCTCATATTGGATAAAATGGAAGAAAGAAGTTCTTTCCTTCGAGCAACTGGAAAAACAAAGTGCCCTTCTTGCTCAGTCAGTTACCAAGTAAATTTATTTATAAGGGATCTTTGTGCTCTGTGAGTTGTTCCAGTTGCCATTTACACTTGCATATAATGACTCTCTTCAACTTCCACTTCTCAGTAATTACTTCTGCTATGTTGATAATTTTTTCATTCAACCACAAACCACTTGCCCAAACTCTCCCCTTATGTAATGCACATAATTCACAGCATTTAAATTAAAAGGAAATAATTACTAGTAAAGTCACAGACCTTGCTTTCATTGCATATGAAAACAATTCAACATTGTTTGCAATCATATTCATAATAAATAATTGTTTGGTTTGATTTTACTGGTTTCATTTTTCAGCTTCGATGTCCTCATTGTACTAATCAGAATCATGACATTGACTATAAATTATTACATGTTTTCCCACTTCTGTTTACCTCAATACTTACACACAGGTATTTGCACTCTGTACATACACTCACTCAGAAGATGCTCACAGGTACTTACAACCCAGTACTTACACTCAATACTCATACTCAGGTACACTAAAGAACTCTATGGTGCCAATGGTAAAGCCTGAACATAAAAAGCAGGGAATGATAACATGAAACAATATTTAATCAGTGCCCAAACCCACACTCTTTTCTGAGGGAGACACTTCGCTTTATTAATACTGGGTATAGGCTTGGTTTTGCTGGACACAATGTTCTGGGAATTTTTGAAGTTTAGAATCTATTTCCCTATACCTGCATTACATTGGACCTTCACAGATAAAAGGAGCACAGACCAGTTAGGCATCACCATTAAGTACTAAGATGTCAAAGCTTTTACAAACATCCCTTAAGCACATTCTTACTGATCAGCATAATGTCCTCCCTCCCCAGAAAAGGCAGCAAGAAAAGCAATATACAGAGCATTTTATTTCTTTAAAACAGAAAGATGTTTCATGAAATGGCAGATATCTTACCTCGCATCTGTACACCTTGGTCGAGTAATGATTCAAGTCATTTCTTCTTATCCACATAGCTTGATATACTGTCAGTTTCTCAGCAGTAATCCTGGGAAGTTTGAGTTCAACAGTAATGCCTCTCTTTTGATTGACAGCCTTCTTGGCCTTTGCTCCAATATGCCCAGAAGGCAACGTTCTTGTCCGTGCCCGAGAGCCAGTATAAACAGATTTCTTCACCTCGCGGTTATTCTTATTGTACCTTCTAAACAGCAATGTGGAGCGTTCCTTTCTGTTTCTGTCAAACTCATCTCCCATCCCTTCATCACAGCTGTTCCCTGAATCTTCAGTACTGTCGACTGAAGGCTTCAGGACCACTCGATTCTGCCATTGGCCTGATGTGGACCTATCAGCTGAGCCTTTTGCCTTTATCTTACGTTGGACTCTGCCTAAGCCTGCCTGTGAAGCATGCAAACCTGGGCAACTGGCATTCAGTTCATGTACAGTCCCATGAGTGCAGCCTGTTGAGAATTTCAATTGTTGCTTTGATGCACAATCACAAGTTGCATATTCATAGTCATGCTCAACACGGCAAACCTTAGTTCTCTGTGAACACTGACTAAGGTAGAAAACACAATACCTTTCACTGTCATGGCTGCTATGGCATTTCAGTTTCACATCACTTTCGGTACTATGCGGATCAGTTGCTTTAGTGATTTTCTGGCTGCAAAATGACAGCAGCTTCTTCGAAGAATCTTCTGTATCCAAGTCTTCCTCCTCTTCACCGATCCCTCCTCCCTGAGAAGGAGACAGAATCTCAGGCGTCCAGTGTGTGCTTCTGTCAGTTTGAGGATCCCACGGTGACTGATCCGAGAACACATTGCAATCACAATTCTCCTGTGAAGAATTAAAACAGCTTGATTTATAGTATCCCAGTTTAGAGTTTGACATGCCCATCCCACCGTCCCTGACTTCTGCTTGCATTCCAGTGTTTTGTTTTACAGATATTACTGGTTGTGGACCGGGCTTCGTGCTTTGCAACTCTTGCTGAGACTGTGGAAGGCCTCGTAGAAGTGACACTGGATCTACGGGCAGCTTCCTTTCATCACCACCACCGTGCCTTTTTTTAACATCGCAGCCTAAATTACTTGAAATATTTTTGTCTTCAGCTGGCTGGCCAGATATCATCTTCCCTGGTCCCATGGTCACAAATGCAGACGCAACCATCTCCTCTGAGTTCATCTTGAAACACAGACGCTCGATATTCTTCTGATTCTTTTCTTTGACTGTCATAGCATGGCCTGGTCAGTGACAGGAGTTTGTAAAGCACTTTAGTGAAGTTCTCCGAAAGGTGTCGGGCTGCACTCAAATTAGTCTGTTCTGAAACCAGATGTTTTAGAAACAAAAAAGGAAAAAAATGACCAGCTGTTCAAGCCTGACACAGTATAATGATCCTGCAAATTCCAAGCAGCTGGATTCTCATGTACTTTATGGCATAAGATACTATTCTGCTCAGAGCTCTAAGAATCGTTGCTTTGGAGACGTTAGTTGATTTGCAAGCTAAATTCTGTTTCCTCAAAAACGAAGGTTGTAAATAGGTTCTGTTAGTGTTCCCTTCCTTTATGGTCACAGGAAATGGTTTGCCACAGAGCAGCCTTTAAATGCAGATTACCTTTGTCTGAAACAAAAATTGGAAGAGTAATTAATGTGAGTTAGTTTATCAGAAAAGCAAACATCTTGAGTGATAAGTGGAATAGTACAAGGACATTCATCTACACGTTTTCTAATATAATGTTTTTAGAAGTAGGAGGATTAGCATGCTTCTATATTTAACTAGCAGGAAGCAGTGGTGGAATACAAAAACTTTCTGCCTTGAAGATATTTCAACCTTTTTTAACATTTCTCACAGGTTATGCACTCTCCTATTTCTTTCAGTGACAAGTGCTTTGGGACATTCTTCTAGACGTGAAAGACACTACACAAACGTGAATTGTATGTATTGAAACAGACAAAAGGTGTTAAGGGCTCGTGTCTGGCTGTCAAAACTCAGTGTCAAAACTCCAGTGTCCTGGGCCGTCTTTCTGACGTGAAGGGTGCTATACTAGTGTAATTTGTTGTTGTTGTTAATTATTGTATTCTAGGTGTACAGGGTCAAATATAAAGAGCAAGTATTAATAATAATAATAATAATCCTTGCATTTGATCTCGTGCCTTATCACGTCTTCAAGACATCTAAAAGCGCTTCACAGAATATACAGTAAAGTGAATACTTCTGTTCTTAGTATTCATATTGAAATGAACCACAACTTCTAATATCTATTCCAAGCACGATGTCTGTATAGATTAGTCAGATTAAATATCCACAAAATTTATCAGCCATGAAAATCAGTCGTAAATTAGAAAATACCAGCGAGACGCAAAACAGAAGCTTGCAAACTCTTTAACAGCTTCACTTTGTCAGGCAGAAACAGCAACCAACAGGTGTCACTTCCTAAGATGTGCCCACAAGAAAAAACAGAAAATGTCGTTAGAGTAAATCTGACGGGAAGATATAAACCTCAATATATAGTAGACAAATTCAAGGGATAAGTCTCATTTAACACACCATAAATAATAATATATAATAATAATAATCCTTGCATTTTATATAGCACTTTTCATGTCTTCTAGTGCATCTCAAAGCGCTTCACAGAATATATTATAAAGTGAATTGACTGTATATTTGTGGGTGAAAAAAAATGTGAAATGATGGAGTTAAAGCACAGGTTCGAGCACATACAAAAAACTGCACAAGAATTTATTGAAAATTTTCATTTCACCAGTGAGGTAAACAAGGCATTTGAAGATATTCTATTTGCTATCATGCCACTGCACAGCCAATGTCACCACTATAGGTTTGACTGCAGCAATTGCAGTGAGTTATCGACCCACTGGAAGCTGCTGGGGTTATTTGGTTTACAAAGTGTTTACATAATGTGTGGGCTGTGTAACTTTTTTTGTGAGTCAGTAATGTAGTGGTAGATAGTGATTGTTGTTGCTCTTGCAGAAGTATCAGGCAAAAGTCATGGAGGAGTTGAGTAATTGCTTTGATGGCAACATGGTTGTTCAATTTATTTGGAAAAACATCATTTACTTCCAATTCTGTTGTCATGTCACGAGTTCGGTGCACCAGATTTCCCATTCCATGCAACCTGTAACTTCCATGGAATTCTGTATCTTAGTAGTTAGAGCACTCTCCTCACAAGCGAGAGACCTGGGTTCGATTCCCAGCAGGGCAAAACCTTGAGCAACTTTCCTTACTCCACACGCCAGATAATAATCCCTCAAGAAAAAATAAAATAAATAAATAATAATAATTTGGTCACTCAATCCATGACTGCTTGTGAGACACTGCTGTGTGTAATTGGCTTCTGGGTTTTGCCCACTAATATACTGTCACTACACTTTATAGTATATTCTGCGAAGCGCTTTGAGACGTCTAGATGTAAAAAGCGCTATATCAAATGCAAGGATTATTATTATTAATATTATTATCTGCCACACCTACCATTTATCATGAACACCTCAGGAACACATACATTGCATACATTTGTGTTAATTCACAATTTCACCTTCACCCAATTCAAATATATCCAACTAAAACTAACAATTTCCTACAAAAAGAGAACTCAACATGTAAGGACTTGTAAAGAGGAAATCCTACTCCTCCTTAGCACCCGGACTGTCAACCAGCATGATGTTCAAAAGAGTCTGTATTGTTTTCCCATTGGGGGAGACCACTGATAATAAAAGCTCTGGTTGTGAAAGGGGTCTCTGATAAACAATGCCATAATTAGACTGACCTTCAAACTTCTTGGAACAAAATTAGAATCCTGTTGTTGGCACCTGTTCTCTAGTAAACCTCAGTACCTTTTAAGCAGTTCATAATTACTTACAGGCAGCTACACTTAGTATATTCTGGTCAAATACAGTCTTTCCTGAATTGCTCAAAAAGAAGTTCACTTTCCATTACTCCCCTGAATTTTCTCACCATACACAGAGAACCTCCTCAATAATTGCAAATCCACACTCCAGCAATAGAAACATTTAATTAGCAACAACAATTTAAATTTATATAGCACCTTTGATGTTGGGAGGACATCGCAATGCACTTCGCACATCTGACCGGGAGCCCAAGCTCAGAGATAGTTTAGGAGAGTGGATGGTGGGGGGGTAGAAGTGACTGAAAGCGCAGTAGGAAACATAGGCCCTAATGTGGTTCCAGGGGCTTGTATATTACCCATAACAAGCAGATTCAACGTAATGCATGAAACGTTTATCTTACCTGTGTGACTTCCTGGTTTTCAAAGGAACTCAAATGACTGGTCTAATTTGAGTATCATTGTTGTACATTGATCATAATCCTTATTTGCATGAAATGAATTATTCTATTGTTCTCAAAGATCAATACTGACTACACTGCAAAAGTATATAACGAAGTTCTGAAACAAACAAGCAGTTACAAAAATTTCTAGTTTCCAAACATTTTACTCACAGCGATGAAACCTGAATCATGAGTTTATACCATGTGGCTATTAAGAGCTAGTGATCTACGGATTACAAATTCCTTTGATAAGCATGACCTAAGCTTGCTAAGCAGGTAATAACTACCTTAAACACACTCCTAAGATATACAGTATTTTGACAGTATCTAACAACAGCCCCAGTTGATCATGAGGGCAGGAGGTTTAATCAATAACAGGAGTACAATGATCAAAAGGTAAATGCGAAAGCTGTAATCGTTCCAATCATTTGGTCATCGGTAAAACTTATAACCTGATCAGTATCTGAAAAATAACACCATAAACCCCGCCACCAATAATAACAACAACAACAAGATTCCATTTATAAAGCGCCTTTCACGTCAGGAGGACGTCCCAAGGCGCTGCACAGTTGGGTCATGACCCGAGCAGGGGGGAAATGGTCAGGGTGAGGGGAGGGAAGGAGCGAGGAGGGGGGAAATGGTCAGGGTGAGGGGAGGGAGCGAGGAGGGGGAAGAGAGTCGAGAGGGGAGCTGAAGGCTCGGTCAAAGAGAAAGGTTTTGAGACCGGCCTTGAAGGAGGAGAGGGAGGAAGCAAGGCGAAGGCACTGGGGGATGGAGTTCCAGAGCCTGGGGGCTGAGAGGCTGAAGGCCCGACCACCGATGGTAGGGCGGTTGGGGCGGGGGATGTGGAGCAGACCGGAGCCAGAGGAACGGAGGGTACGGGCAGGTAGGTAGGGGGATAGTAGGTCGGAGAGGTAGGAGGGAGCAAGGCCGTGAATGGCCTTGTAGGTGAGGATGAGGATCTTGAAATCAATCCTCTGGGGGATGGGGAGCCAGTGGAGGCGAGCGAGGGTGGGAGTGATGTGGTCCCGAAGCCTGGTGCGGGACAGTACACGAGCTGCAGAGTTCTGAATGACCTGCAGCTTGTGGAGGGAGGTGGCGGGAAGGCCGGCGAGGAGAGAGTTCCCATAGTCCAGCCTTG